ATATTGGATGATCACGATCATCTCCCACTCCCTCTACTTCATGCCCATGCTCGACGACAGTTCTATTGTAACTGCGACCCATGGAATTCAAACTTTGGTGCCGCTGGAGTCGCCCCGCAGGTGGCCGCTCACCTGAAAGGCGCGTCGTGTCCTGGCCCCGCTCTTGTTCTACATCAGTAGCAAACCTAGAAAAAGTGACTGATGGAAGTCGATGCCGCGTTCTAGCTATCCCTTCATGCTGATCCATACGCTTTGCAGCGGCCGATGTCGACATGGTCATCATGGCGTCCCGTGTCGCGCGGGGTACGTTGTCGCGGCTTCGACTTCCAGCAGTAGAAATGGCGACTGTTCGACGGCTGAAAGCTGGCACGCCCCGCACTGCAGTATTTCTTTTATCAACCCTCGTAGCTCCAGTCCCGGCGCGCGAAGAGCGCACGCTTAATTTGCTCGAGGAAGACGCGTGTGCGTGACCATGTAACTCGATAGCCCCACCTGGCGCTGTTCTAGGATTATCTGCATTGTAGTTATCGTGAATTCTAGTGGAGCCGTACCCTTCCTCCTCTTCGGTATCGAACGCTGCAGAGGAGTTAGAAGGGAAAACGAGCTCTCTGGGTGGTGCACTGCCTTGGTGCCATGTCATCGCAGACATTGGGTTCAGCGAACTTTCATCTCGCATCGACATCATTTCCCGCCCAGAGACATCGTCTCGCTGCCGTTGTCTGTTCGCCTGCTCTGCATTTGTGTTTATTCCGATTGACATCCGCGAATACGAATCGCTGCTTATTCCACCGGCAGGAAGGTTCGCTGGGGGTCCTGCTCCTGTCGTAACTCGGTTGTGATCAACCTCGTTTACGACAGATGAAGGAAGAGACCAAAGATTGGCCGTTGCAGCACTTCGACTGGCGGAAGCTCGCAAAGGCGCGGCACCTGAAAAATGCACCACATTATTAACCGCTACAATAGTTCCTGGTGGAGGAGTGACGACAGGAGCACTCCCAATGATAAGCCCACTGACAGTAGAACCACGCGCAGCGCGCGTGCCCTGGCCGCGAAAGTGTTTGCGATTTCCCACGCTGCTTGCTGAGAGGGCCGAAGGTAAGCGAGAAAATAACGCAGATCCCGCTGCGCCGCTCGCACTTGCTCGTCTGTTTGTGAAGTGAGAGACGGGCGGCTCACCATGTTGTTTGCTACTTGTGCCTGGAGCAGCCGAGCCCCGATGAATCTTTGGTGTGGGTCGCTGAAGCTGTTGCAATGCCCATTGCCTCGTTGTTGAGCGTGACATGCTCAACATATTCTCTCGAAGCAGCAGCTGATCCCGTCCCGGAATGGTGTCTTGAGAATTCCCCAAGGGCATCGGTCGAGCACCAGGCGGCAGCACCGAGGTGCTACTTACTCCTGAGGAAGTGGGGGCGAGGCCTGATGATTGCAAAGTAGTTGTGCTGCTCGGTAATCTCGAAGAGCTCGCTGCCGCGGGTCCGCTTGGCAAATGTTTTGCTGCAACAAACGGCACACTCCCGCGAGAGGCGTAGTATGAACTTCTGCTGGACGCGAATTTACGTCTTCGAGTTGTGGATACAATATTCGCGCTCGAATGAGCACTGCGTGGAACAAGCATCATACGTGATGTTGCCCTTGGTCGGCCATCAGGATCATCATGATCTTCACCACCACCTAGTATAATAGTCGACTTACCACGCGCTCTCGTTGACATGCGACCATGCTGTGTCGGCACTCTGCGGAGGTCATGGTGTTCCTGCGAACTTCCAACATCGCAATCCCTCTGCCTGCGCTTTGACGAGCGGTCCCCAGTGGGTGATGTCGTCGTTCGCGTTCCACCACTACCGGCCCTGCCTTGCCTACCGTGTGGGGTATTCCTCCGATGAAGGCTCGACGAGCTAAAAACGCGGTTGGTGATTGCGTTTTCTCTAGAACTATACGAAGCAACGGCATTCCCGCCCATATTAGAGTCCTGGTGCCTGTCACTATCTGAGCGCGAAGTCGCGAGGTCGTCAACGTCATCCCCTTCATCGACACTAAGGTGCACGCGCAGCTCACGCTTCTTGCCACTAGCGACATGGTTGGGCCGAGAGCAGAATCGTGGAATTTGTGCTGGAGGTGACCCGGCCTCCTGTATGGAGAAAAATCGACGCCTCCGCGGAAGCTCCACATCGACTCTGTGCCCACTTTGATCGTGTCCACTTTCCCACTCCGACGCGCGGTGCCTCTCTTCGTCGAGGAGCGAGTGCAGCGCTTCCCTGGTGTGGTCCTGCGCGTCATTCTGATCTTCGCTCCGACCGAAGGGCCCATGAGCTGGAAACGCCGATAGAGAGCGCGCATTAGGATCACGCTGGATCGAATCTCCTCGAGGCCCACGTGATAAAGAAGGTCGATCGCCCTCCGGCGGCTCAAGTGCAAGTAGATGATCTTGCGAGGTTAGTTGCTGCACTCCGTCGGCATTGTTTTCTTCTATCCGCGCAACAAACTGCGCGCGAGCTCTGATTGTACTTGTAGTATCGAACGCTTGTTCAATATCGACACTAATCCGAGAAAACACGTCTACCTCGGCTTCACGTTCACAGTTGTCCATCTTAAGATGCTGCTCATGTAGTTCATGCCTGCGTCATCTACAACGAACCAGAATTCGATGTTGAGTTTTCAATAAGGAGCAAATATTCGAGGTAAAAGTCGAGGGTGGGTTGTCATTGTGAAAAAGAATCTATTACTACAAACGACGATGAGTGTAACCAATCGCTCAGAGACATGTGACCATGGGGCTAACACAAAAATGAAGTTAAATTTAATAAGAGAACCATGACGGGTAGTTGCGTAAGTATAATTACTCTGTAGTACAAAACAAAATCTAGGAGGAGGAGGAGCTAGTTACAATCAAACTTTATTCACTAACCATTATCTGTAGATGATTTTACATGATCGAGTCTAACTCAAGAAATATATACCGTCGAAACCCGCCACGACGCGTCTCAATTCATCTACTTACCTAAGTAGAAGATAGTAAGTATGTGTAGCGTTCTTGATTCTGTCTGACAGAAAGTGGAAATAAGTTCAATGGTCAACGTCAACTGCTCACGCTATATAGGAATAGGATAGCTTTAGGTTTAGCTGTGAATAATGAAAAAAAACCTCAAGACCTGACTGATTGATCGATTGACTATGAAAGGATTTTGAAAATCAATCTCAATTCCGGTGGGCCGGGGATCGAAAAAAATCCAGTAATTTTTGTGTGGACAAGAACCGGCCAGACTCTTACAAGCGCCACGGAGATGACACGGATCATCACCGATTATACTGTTGAAAGGAGATCATCCTTTCTTTTGACCAAGAGCGTGGTCGCCTCCTTGTGATTTGATCAGCAAAAATATGGATCAATGAAGACACATGTTCAATGAAGTCGCGTTTGTCAATTCCCGCGAGATCGCTGCCGCTGCTGCCATTCGTAGTGAAGAGGGGTTTGATGAACAATCATGTTGTAAATGAGCATCTCCTGGTCTCAAGATCAGCAGCTCAGCACGTTTCAATTGATGAAGCTGAAAAATTCGAATCCATGACACGACTCGGAATAGCTCATCGAAGCTCAGATACATCTAGTGAATGTGAAAAACGAAACAAAGATGACTCTCACATCATATTATTCCTGCTGACCACAAGACCAACTTCTCTTTCCTCCAAAAGATTGAAGCAAGTCCAAGTCTTCAGTTGTATGACACGATGTCGAACTTGATTTGTTGTTGACTTATCACTTATTCATCCTTGTGCTAGTGCTCACTAGTACATCCATAAGACTACGGTAGCATGCTTAATATGGCCACGGGCGAGTGACATTACTCCGATTGCGTAACTGATTTGTAACAATCACGTGCCTGCACGTATAGTGGTAAATTGGGCCGAAATTCGGCTCCGGTTAAGCACGAATTTCTCAGCTGCGGTTCTCCTGCATTTCTCGTACTCATGAAAGGCCGCAGCGCTTCGCTCGCAGCAGCAGGCGAACGCAGCGGCGTCGTCTTGCGGTCATTGAATCATCGATTCCACACGCAAAAAATGAATGTTGGCAATCCTGCGGATATTGTGGGAACGCGTGCTTCCTTTGGCGCGCGAGAAATTTAGCTGTATTCTACATATAGCAGCAAAGTTCTCTAGTCGCGGCGCGAAGGCGAAGACAGGCACGGACTCAGAGGCACCAGGTGGGCCACGCAAAAAAATATTAAAGAGCTAAGTTAAACATCAGCAACGGCCCCGCCAAACTCTCACTCTCCCACTTCCAAACCCCAAACCCCAAACTCTCACGCTTTCACGTTTGAACTCATGAACTCAGGAGTTTATGACTTTATGAACTTATGAACTCATGAAGAACTCACAAACTCATAAACTCGCGAAGAGCTCATGACCCAGGAGTTTGAATTTCAGCGAAACTGCTTAAAATCAAAAGTTTTGGGATTTGAGATATTCAAACCCAGCGAATTCAATCCCAAAGCCACAAAATAACACGGAAAGCCTCGAGATTCGAGATATTAAAACCCAGCGAATTCAATCCCAAAGCCGCAAAATAATCTGGAAAGCTTCGAAATTTGAGAAAGAATCCAAATCCAAGAAATTGAATCGCAGAGAAAATGCTTAAAATCAAAAATTTTGGGGTTTGAGAAATCCAAACCCAGCGAATTTAATCCAAAAAAAGACAAAATAAGAGGGAGAGCCTCGAAATTTGAGAGATTCAAACCCAGGAGATTGAACCGCAGCGAAAAGGCTTAAAATCAAAAATTTTGGGACTTGAGAAATCCAAACCCAGCGAATTTAATCCCAAAGCAGCAAAATAATGAGGAAAGCTCCGAAATTGGAGAAATTCGGAGCCAGGATATTGAGCTTCACCGAAAATGCTTAAAATCAAAAAAATTTGGGATTGGAGATTCAAACCCAGCGAATTTAGTGCGTCCCAAAGCGACGAAATCACGCTGAAAGCTTCGAAATTTGAGCAATTCAAATCCAACAAGTTGAATCTCAGCGAAACTGTTTAAAGTTAAAGACTTGCCTTGCCTGTTCCCTGGGTTACTTCCGGAGGAGGGGAATCCTAGCGCGAGGGGTTGTTATCGGGCACTCCAAGCAGCTAGTAGAGACTCTATCTTCTTTCGATTACATTACGCACGCGGTCGCGGCTGCAGCAAAGCCAGTTTGATCTGGCTGCCGTGCCCGTGTCTCGGTCACTCTCCTACAATATGGGAATGGCGCAAATTCGGTATTATGAATAATTGCAGATGTTGAGGTAAGTGGCAATGTTAAGTGACTACAACATGCAATAGTACCAAAGGTAACAACCCCTGCGGCATCTAGAAAAATCGAGGTGACCGTGATGAAAAAGATGACATGAAGAACCACAACAAAAAATGAGATTCCAGAAAGCATCAGAGAGAAGCACATTTGCTGTGAATACGAGCGGCATCAGGGACAATAATCTCATGGACACATCAGAATAGGTCATTGTAATTCAGGCCCATTGTATCGACAGTCTTCTTGGCAGCACCGAAACTTGGCTTTGCTTTCGCTTTTGATTTCGACTTCGGTGCTGCTCCACTCAGATTACCCCGGTTCTGTACAATGCTGCCTACTGCAGCTTTGCTCACTCCGGCAGCCTGCTTACTCGATGAAGAACCTCCTCCCAACATCCTCCTTCCAGTTCCGGCACCTTCCTCATTTGCTCGTTTTTCAAAACACATCATGCAAACTGCGACTCCCCTGCTAGTAGAGACATCTTCACTGGAAGGTTGCCCTGACCCAGAAGCTTCACCCCTTTGTCCTTTCCCACCACGCTTCCTGCTACTACTGCTGCTCGCCGAACCACTCGAATTGACGTCACCCAATGGCTGATACTGTTGCCCCTTCAATCCTTTGCCGCAGTCTGTGCACTTGAAACACTCTGGATGCCATGGCAGACCCAGCGCAGTCATGCAAACACCACGAATTTTTTCCTTACATCCGGTACAGGTTTTGGCAAACTTAGCTACGTGACAGGAATCACAATACAGCTCATCACCTTCGATGAAGTGTTTCATGCCGACCTGAGATAGGTTGTAGTCCTCGAAGGCCCGTCGTGAAAGTAAAAATCATTGAAGAGAAATGGAAATGCTACAGACGCAGCTGCTACTGTCCATCATAGTCATCCCAACAATGTGCTAGAAGTCTATTTCAATTTTCTACCAGTCCACCTCCGCAGCTCTCGCAGACAAAACATTCCTTGTGCCACTTATATGGATGCTTTGGGCCTCCTTCGATAACTGTCCCACCGAACAGGTCCTCACCACATTTTCGACACTGTCCTAATTTGCCCCATTGCGTATTAGGTCCCCGAGCACCTTGTTTTGCTTTCGGCGCTCCAGCTCCCCTTCTTCCAGTCGTGACAGGCGCTTGCACTCCACGAGCTCCCGTGCTGGCACTACTATTTGCAGCGCCGCTGTTGAAAGATGCCGGTGAAGGTTGCATGTCTACACCACTCAGAATTGAGTCTTTCCAAAGGCTTGGGAGCTTCCCTGCGGTCGCCTCAGACGCTTGCAGAGCCACTTTTCCATCGCGCATTCGAGCAGCCACTATTGCCGGGTTCTCTGGTACAGGTCCGCAAAAGTTGGCCATATTGATGCAACAGCAGTATCCGAAGGTCTTGTGAAAACCGACGAAGACTCCTACAAAGTGATACATCGGGTCGTAGACGCCCAGACGATGCCCCCGCGTCTTTACTCCGTCATCTACAATTAGGTCCTCCACGATCTGGTATCCTGTCACTGGCTGCGTGCCATACCAGAGACACTCGCCGACCTTGTGCTTCCACTCGCCGTAACGCTGCATGCGCATAACTGGCTTGCACGCGTTGTCCGAACCGGTGTGAGACGCCAGGCCGAGCAGCCCTATGTCCGCGACGTGATCAGCGGCCGAGAGTGCCAACAAAGGGTGCGACAAGACTTGCATAATTGCAGCGCCGCTCGAACTCCTGGAGCTCGCGCCAGAACAAGTTCCTGTAGCAACAAATTCGTCGAGTGGTAGCGGCGGAGGTGGAATCACCGAAGGCGTAGGGTCCAGCACTCCAGCTGGGCCGCAGCTAGGTAGCTTATAGCCACCCGCCGCGGCTGCAGAAGGATTGAAGGCATCGCAAAAGGCAATGGCCTCGTTGACAACTGCTTGTCCCTCCTTCGTCACTTGGCAGCGCCCTGCTGAGGCATGGAAATTGTTCCCCTCGAACTTGCCCACTCGCATTTCACGCAGGTTCTTCGATACGGCTTTCGGCGTGGAACGAACCAGTGTTAGCGCTTCTACCACCTCCAGTCCAATAAGCTCCAGCGCAAACGCTTCCAAAACGCGACCTACTTCATTTAATTCAGTGCGCCGCACCGAACGTTTGGTTGGTCTCTTTGCTTCTGCGATCGCGGCATTCAGCTTCGTAGAAGTCGCCTCAGCTGCAGCTTCATGATCCGTCGCACTTCTGTCATCTTCGTCGAAAAGATGTCGATCAACTGCACGGGAGACCGCGAGCTCCCAACAAGAACGGTCAACAGGCACAGAAGTTGGGATAGACTTACCTCTTGACAGGTCTTCTGAACCAGAGGACACCGCGGCCGCCCCAGCAGAAGCCGTCGAAGCAGTGGCAGCCGCACCAAGGTAACGCGCGACTATATCACCAGCGCGGCGGATTCGCTTCGGGTTCAGCGCTTTACCACGCGAGTAAAGCTCCACACCACGTAATTTCGAAGGGCCTCCGACAACCACCTGGTGCTCATCTCCCGATGACGAACGGAGATCAGCTAGTCGGTCCAGAAGGTTTTCGCCACACGAAGCCTGCAGTTCCCATTTCGCAATTCCATTGGCAACGAAAGTTATCAAGGCATCGCCTGTTATTGCATCGCCTACATTGGCCCCACGCCAATAGAACTCACAAATTAAGTCCATTGAATCCAGGGATCATCACATCAATCGCTAATCATACCTGTGTACTACTATGGAGGCTCTGACAATCTTTCTTTTCTACTTACACTGTTTCCTCTTTAACTGTAGAACCACAATGAATGCGAAAAACATCAGGTACACGACTATCATCATGCAACTGGCGGGCAGATGAAAGCTGCTTCTGATCCTCAAGAAATACAAAAGTAACTACTGGAATGAGACACGGGGGAGGCACTCAACTACTAGAATGAGACACTGAGTTTATGATTCAACGACACAGAATTTCCTACCATTATGGCATGATGAACAAAATATCACAGCTCTTGTGGTGGTTATGAAAAACAGATTGACCTTGACAAGCATAAGACCATAGATCATGGCGTTGAAATTTCTGAGGTAGGATCTTCTACTACTAATGCCCCCCCAAAAGAAGTAGCAGCACGACAGACAAGAGTTATCGCTATGATCGCTATCAAACCGAAGTGATGAAACCGAGTAACCGATTATTCACGATAAATCTGGATTACCGTTGTTGCTCGTCAAGACATGGACTTTTTACCAAGCGAATTTTTGATTAAGGCAGCGGCTGACGTGCTCGCCCTTCTGATGTCAACACATCTACTTCCTTCTACCTGCTTGATGGTCGTGCTGAATCCATCATCCATTAGATTTTTTTCGTTTTCTTCTAGCCAACGAGCTAACACGCTTGTTAAGATCTCTACTTTTTTCTCGGGCACGAATCTGTGCGTCTGGATTTATAGTGGCTCTTCTCTTTCTCGCCACACTGGTCGACATCTCTTTCATTTCCGATGCCGTTTCCGGAGCTGCGAGTTCGCCGTCATCTGGTGGCGATAGTAGCCCAACTCCCAGAAGAATCAGAAATATCCCCGTAAGAAAGCATAGGTTCTCGCGGTCCCAGAAAGGACTTCGTTCGAGTTGTAGAGAAGAAAAAGCACCCAATCGTTCAAACATGGTTGAGAATCGTATTTCGTTTTGATGTTGGCCGCTAAAAGAGTCTGAAGTGAACTCGCGCGTTTTTGTATATGCTGCTCTCGGCACTCCCTTGGATAAAAGGGCTGAGAAAAATGTATTCAAGCCTAGAGCGACGGCTGAGACGCCGGTGCTGCTATCTGCATCTGCGTTTGCGCTAAGAAAGAATTTCCACATCACAGCGTTGCTCGACACGCCAACAACAAGCATAAGCAATCGCAGAGCAGAATGGTATACCCCAGACTGGTCGAAAGCAACCTGCATGCACACTGTCGCAAGAGCAGCGAAGAAGCTCGAGACGACTAAGAGCCGACTGGCCTGTGAAAGGAACGAGAACTTTGCTGGCATTATTTGTGTGATGGTGATTCTGAGTTCATTTTAGTCAAGTGTCCAAAGCACCTACGCCATCATGTTGCGCATAACTTCATCGTGACTAACACGAAATGAGAGTGAATCGCAATTAATAAGCCTGAGTTTACGTCAGGGCACATAACGCAAGTTTTAATTGTATCAGCAGGTGACAAAAGTAATAAGAAACTGCTCACATGGAACACGTCTATCGGTATGAGGGACAGTCAGCACGCTCAAACGTGCATTTTGTTCTTGACTTTTGGCATGAGGCGAAGCCACCGCCGGCGCCTCTTCGCACGCAAACGTCTACGTCGGAGAAAAGACAAAAAAGAAGTCAACGGTTCTTCAAAAAGCATTGCCTAGGCTTAAAGAAGCAGAAATGCAACTGCAATTGCGAATTTCGTATAAGAAATTATGAGCATCAAGCGTCGTCAAGCAAGAAAGAAGAAATCATTCAAGAAGCACAAACGGAATCATTCATCTTTGGCAAGTTCGTCACAACCAAGACGAAAAATTTTTAGTTACCAATTACTTCAATGAATAGCATGCACAAAGCCCGTAAAAGACGCAAAAAATTGAAGATTGCAAAGTAGCAAGCGCAAGAAAATGAAGGGTCCACCAATCCGTCGTTGGGTCAAGAAATGCAAACACATAAATTTTATCTCCATTCCTTCGCACCGTAGAATGCCTTCTTTTTTTGCTTATGAGGTTCATTCTGTGTCTTTTCCATCTTCCTCTTTTGGGCCTGTTCGTCAAAGAGAATGCGGAAGCCGCCCATGGAAAGACCGTGCTTGCCGTGCGGATAAACAACTGTGCCGCTTCCCTGAGTGTTATTCGGATCTGACGTGGATCTATTAGAATAAAGAAGTAGAAAAAAAGATTGACATTATATATAATATACTCGTATAGTAGCTATAGCTAATCCTCATCTGGTACGACTAATTATCAGGAACGGAGAAGTATCTTCAAATTTTTCTCCAGCAATTTGTTTTTGCGTTTCGTCCATAAGCACAACACCGCCGCTAGCGAAGACGCCCAATTGTTGCATGTTTCGAATACTGTTGGACACGAAAGTTCCGTCATCCATCTTGATGCCGAAGGGTGTGACCCGCGTAGTGCTGTTTTGCCGCATCTCTGCAGCATACTCTGCCTCAAGGATGTTAAAAGTGTCGTGAATCAGGCGCGTCTTAAGGATCCTGTCTTCAAAAGTAGTTGTGCTGAGACTGGGACTGGCATTCACCTCGAGCAGCCACGGTTTCAGATTGCCGTCAATCAGCACATCCACTCCATAAAGCTCGTAACAATGCTTATCGTTGATCATCGAATGCTGCACACTCTTCAGAGTGACGACAATCATGTTCTCTATGTCGCGAAAGACCTGAGGTACGAGTCGTTACATGTTGGAAAAACGACATAATTATACCTTGTAAATAAGCAGAAGCTTCACAAGGAGAGTCAACAGTCCCTTGCAGAGCTTAGGTACAACTACTTACATCATTATGATTTTTCAGTGTCTCTTCGCGGAATACCGGCAACCTTCATAAGTAGATACCTGTAAAGCCGTGTCTCTGCATTGCGTGATTGATTCGATGTAGAGCCTGAGGTCCTGCAAAGACCACTTCCCGCCATGCTTTGCGTTGTATTCTTCCGCATGCTTTTGGATTGCAACATTTGTGAGGTGAACAAAAACGTTGTCTAGTTCCGTCACATCAGTCGAATACTGCACATTGCAAAAGCGACAGAAGCCCTCGTCGTAGATATAAGTTCGGATAGGCCGAAACGATGTCACCAAAACATAGACTCGCAAATCGAACTTTTTGCCTGTCATGGAGGAGGAGAGAATGAGCACGTCAACACTTACACTGGGGTCAGAAAAGTAAGTACTCATTCATTGTTACCTATTTGTTCAAAAAAGTGATAAAAAAGATCCCCTATTCTTCGTCTTGGTCTTCGTGGAAGTTACAAGTGAAACGGTTTCATCAAAATGAAAATTGATCATTCATGTTGCTGGCGACAGATTGAGCGTAGTTCTCCAGGTTCTCTGTTGCCGTCAGAAAGTGTATCGCCGAATAGCAGTGTGATGAAAATTTGAGGTATCACAACAGCGAAACCGACGACACAAGTAAGAAAGCTACCGTCAAATAGATTACCGCCGATCAGCAGCGGATTGTCGATGTATCTCGAGATGATGTAAGGTTCCCGAAATGGATTTGGATTGTCGCTGTCGCGTTTGTTGTAAGCCAGGTGCGATGGGTGCGTCGCCCATTTGCGTACTTGATTGAGACGGGAAACAAGGAAAATGCCTTTGCCTTGCGCCTTCCCGATGGGCTTCATGATCCAGCTTGAGCCTCCGCGGCGAAACTCCTCGACAAAGAGAGAATAATCTTGCGGCAGCGTGAACGTTGTTGGAATAAAGTCTAGAGTGAGTGGGTCAATCAGCGGCTCTCCACTGTCGTCTGGGGCAAGAGGCAAATCGGTTACTCTCGTCGTCACTCCTGGTTTCCGGGAGGATCGACCAAAGCCAAAAAAATATCCGCCACGTGCACCTGCACCAGCAAAACTGTTACGTTGAAAAGCCTTTTGTGGATTTCCGGATGCTCGTGCAAAACCACAGGGCTGGAAATAGCTCGATGAGGAGCCGCCACCGAAAAAGGGTCCTCCGGAGGCCCGCGCAATCCCTGGCCGCGTACGTCGGCTTCGCGGACCACCACCCATTGGGCTTGTCAGTTCGACGTCTTCGCCTTCGTCGTCGTCGTCTTCATTTTCTTCGTCCTCTTCTTCCTCGGCGTTGTCACTTGTCTCTGGGTTGCTGTCGCCTGGCATAAGTAGGTCAATGGCTCCTGTTCCTGCATTAGCACCAATATCCATCACCGCCTGCACGGGAGTCGCTAGAGTACCATGCGGCTGTGTCGTTATTGGCTGTGCAACTCCAGATGAGCGGCCATCTCTACCGGATTCTTGCGAGCTTCCCCGCCTTTGACGCCCGCCGAATGTGCCACTAGATGCGGGCGTCGGGCCGGTTACTGATCCTGCGCCAGTCGGCGCTAAGCCGACCGTCGAGGCGCCGAGACCTGTCGACGTTGATGTTGTGCCACCACTCAGTGCGATGCTCGCTTGGTTCTCCGTGCTCCCAGTGACTACAAGTCCGCTAGTCGGGACCGTTCCAGCGGTAGAACAGCTTCCAGAGGAGCCTCCAGCACTACTAATGGATTGACCTAAAAGTGCTGCTGACCCTCGGGAGCCACCTGAGTACGCCACTCGTCGCTCGACGCCGTGCGCCAGGTTCCATCGCTTCTCGCACTCCTTTCGAAACCGCTTCAAATTTTTCACCATCAGATCCTTTCGTGTCAGTTCGTAGTGGTTCGGGAAATGGTTGATTACCTGACGTCGTGAATTCGTGTGATGAGGTCCGCTATTGAATATTTAATGATCAAGGTCAATGTTAACCATTTATGCTTTGCGCACTCAACGACACGGAGCTGAAGATGAATGTGGGAAGCAAATCAGCTAAGGAGGCGGGTTGGATTTTTTTCAGTGTAAGAACCTGATGGTCCGCGAGGCGCTTTCCTGTTTCGGGATTGAACATTTTGCGAACGGTGTGGACGCTGGCCCAGTAGACGTTCCACTCGCCATCGTCCTCGCTTGGCGTGCCCCACCATCGCTGCCAACCTCGTCTTTCCGCGGTGAGGGTGATTACACTCTTTTCAAAATCGGATCGAAAGACTGTTTGATGCTCCTGCAGCTTCCTGGGAGCTCCTCCCGACACTCCGGTCCCCACGGCTGACGACGAAGAGGACGTGCCCGTAGCGGCACTCGAAAAGACCGAATCCCTGCCTCCAACGGATGCCATCATCATGATGCCTCGATCTTCCGGTCGTGTAGCTGTGGTCTGTCATGAAATTGCTATCCAAAATTTTTCCGATAATGGTTCTCGGTCGCGATCGTCGCTCACAACCGTTGTACAACCACCTACAAACATCCAGTGGTATCATCTCTTGAGCAAATGAAAGTTTTTGCACTTCTCCTTTTGTTGTTGTAAAGAGGTTCTATCAACTCTTACAAGTCTTTGCCTTTTCGACATTTCTGACACTCCTCCCCTTTCATATACAACTGAAGACTGTGATTATTGTGCCTGTGCTCAACAACAAGTTCAGCGGGTAGTAATCACTGGAACAACACAGACTCCAGTTGAAGTTGGTGCAAATAAACACCAGGCACCAACTAGTGCGTGCAGCTGATACAAGTCACAACTTGCAACATCAGTGAGGAGAGAAAAGGAGTAAAATGAGAATACTCAAATGTTGGTTGTCCACAAGGTAGGAGGGACACTTTGTTTCGTTGATGACTGGGGATAGATTCATCAACACGAACGAACCAATGTGGGCGGAGGGGGTCTTTCGTATGTTGAGTAGCATGAAGCAGCCATGTTGTCGTCAACAGGAATATGATCCTGGACGAGCTATGATGTGACAGTTCTGCCTAGCGGTAATGGGTTCATAAAATCACGACATAAGTCAAAGCGATATGTCGATCTATCTAAATCATTATACTTGGTACTAGTTGATGTTACCCACATAAGCGACGGGAAAAAGGTACAACACCACAAAAGCGACCGTTTGACAGCTTCGGGTTTCTAGTATGACCAAAATGAAAAGAGCACAAAATTCTGATAAACTCCAACAGCTTGTAAATCTGGGTGGGCTAAGCCTCGTATCTTCATCCCTGCTTCAAACTTGCACATGCATAATGTTTTCGTTCTTGACATAGAAAAGAGATCATTTCGAAATTTTCTTATCATCGTGCCCTGCAAGTATAAGGAGCACAAGCGAGTCTACTCAAACTTGATTGATAGGATGCTGGAGTTTATCATTTTTCTTTTTGTACAGACCTATTTCCTTTTTTTATCCTCTTCCGCAAACTCGTCGTCACTTTGGTCTTCGTCCAAGTGCTGGTTGATAGGCAGATGACCGCAGTGCCGCTCGATTGTTCCGCATACGTCGTTGAATAAATTTTCTATTACCACATATCCTTCGGTGTCGAAATACCGCGATAGATCATGCCGCGTAACGGTCACTCCGCTTGGTTCAGTTTCGCCTGGAAGAGTATCGCCAGGATGTCCCGCACTGTTGTTAGAAGAGGCGACTTTCTCAAGAACCTCTTTCCCAAACCTCGTCGAAATCAGTCTATGTAGCTACTTTTGATGTAGTATAGTCAAAGTATGAGCATGCAGTACTACATTTCTAGTTTTTCGTAGCTCTTGTACTATTTCTAAAGATGTTCTATTGCATCTAGAGAAGATAGCGTACCGTAAAGCTAAAGAATAGGGTCGTTGAACATGAATCATGTCTTTGAGAAACGAAGTGAAAAGAAATCGAAGGAGTTACGTATGAGAAACAGAAATCAGAACACCGAAGCCATAGCTTTGACCTCAAGAATAACATCGCTGTTGTCGTCTTCCATCGTCACGCAGAGATTGAGAGTCCCTCCTCTCACATCGATAAAATTAATTACGGAGGTCGGGCCCAACGCAACCAGATCGATCCACGTGACGAAATTAGAAACGCCTCATGAGAAGCGAAAGACTATCGGAATCAACGAGAGTACCCGATACGGAGTATGGAGATTCTAATTATGTGAGTATTTGTAGGTTGCATGCATGATCTCGACATATTTTCATTCGTTTGAATTCAATATCAAAATCATGTCTATGAATGATCTCACTGCAACAACTTAAACTGGAAGCAGAAATTCTAGATCTAGTAAAGAAGTTGTGTTGATGCCGTAACAAAAGATGCGACTGCTGCGTAAGCTAAGACCATGTAGAGCAGTGCGTCGTAGTCGGCTGGGAAGCGCAACCGCGCGATCGTGTACACGCCCATAGCACAGGCGACTATAGAGCAGTAGAGCCGCACGTCCAGCCAGTAGCAGCACTCTTCGAAGCCGACGTCGATGAGGAGGTCTTGGAGAATGTCGCAAATGACCTTGTGGCAATCCGGCTTGCAATACAAGGCTAACGTCCGGTTGATCTCTGGAGAGTCGGCTACGATATCCTTGATCATCTCCTCGCAACAGAGGTGTGAGAAATAGTCGACTTCCCCGTTCGGTAGGAGGCGAGGCTTATCCATGTCCTGTTTGTTATTCTTTTTGTTGCTGTTCTTGCCCCCACCAGGAGAATTACTACCGTTGTTCTTTCCGCCACCGCCTGGACTGATCTTGGAGGTCTTCTTATTGGGCGTTTTCGAGTTGTTTCCGCCTTGCTTGGACATAGCACCGCTCATCTCGGCCATCTCCACCTCGCCGCAATTCTGCGTTTTCTTGCTCGATTTTTTCTTCCCCATGGTGTTCTTTGAGTGAGGATGAAGCAATTATGTCGAAGAAATTTCAAAAAACGGAGTGGTTGATGAAGTTTCTATGCTGCGGGAATATGATTAACTTCTACTCGAGTCGATTCGAAAAGGAGAATTCAATCAACGCGCTTTATAGTTGATTGTCAGTACTTCTAAACACCCATTTCCATCTCAAATCAGCAACCATCCTACATCGATGACGTGGACATTGACCCAAATAAAGCAACAAGAAAACTTGAAAAAATTTACCACCTGCATACTACAATACAATACAATACAATACAATTACTTAATCTCGCAGAAAGTACAGCTCAGTGCAGATCTACAGGACAAAAAAAAATGCTCAAACTGCACCTTTCTTTGCAAGTTGACGAGGACCGCCAACTCTTACTTTTAGTACTAGCATAAATTTCTGTCTAATTCTTGCAATTCTTCACACGTGTCGTCCATAGTAATCAAGAGTAAAAAATTTAGTACTTACAACGCTGCACCACTAGGACTAGGAGCAAGGAAAGAAATGATAGTATGGATCCGATTGTGTGAAGATGACGATCGGAAATACTATGCCACGGTTTGCATTCGTGAGATATTCCGTGCTGCACAGACACGGCACAGCACAGTGATCAAGATCAAATCATTGAAGTTCTTCATTCGTTTGTATTTGGTTCTGTTGTGATGTACCAATGTACGCAATTTAAATTTCACGACAGAGTAATACCCCAGGCAGCACTTCGCTGCGATCTAGGGTATGACGGAAAACGCGATTCTAGATCGTACAAAAAGGCGCCCTTACTGCCTCGATAGATTTCCATTGAATTTGAGTGTAGCTTTGCAAAGATGCAATATCGGGCTACAATCGTGATGCAGTTCTGGGGGTAAAGTCTTCAGCAGCATTTAATGATATTGCGAGAAACAAAGATTATCAAATTCAAATTATGACCACCATCCACAGGCAAGGATTGAGAACACGCATTAATGACCGGCGCTCTGTGGAAGACCTGGCAAACTCCGAGAACAGGAGAACAAGCCAAGGAAATCATAGCATAACATTCGATTTCTTAGCAGCTCCAGACCCAAGAGACGCATCCAGGATCAGAGCCAATCAGGAAAAATCGGAGGACAATCTGTGACCAGCGCACAAATTATAGTTTTCCTATGAAAACAGAAAGGCAGGCGTAGAGGTTGAGGGTCATGACGATACCAGTAAAAGAATAGGAACGACCAACCAATTGTCGCCACTATGCAGTATCCGAGCGCTGTGAATTTCACAACACAACAGAGCATCACAGGCATAGAGTCGTCAACTGCACCACAGATTTAACGTTCCCCCGCGTTCTTGTTGTAAAGTATCGCCTACATCTGACCCATGGACGAAGTTCAATCTCATCTCTAGCAAAATTCTGACAGAAATACAAACACGGAGAATCGTAATTGTCTTCTATGAATTTTCAGTTCTTAAATCCGCGGAATCGATGACAAATACGGAATCGAGGAGAGGCGAGGAAATCACTTTTCATAAAGAATCAGACCTAGGCACGACTACCTAAGCACTTAACCAACACAGGAAATAACGGAAAATTGAATTATTTGAACTTTTTCCCTTGTCGGCAAACTCCCACTTCCCACCAGCAGGAGGACATCGCGCGAAAAATCCAAAGTAGAAATATAACACACGCAAAGGGAAGTTTGCCACACGCACTACTTTACTCGACTGGGAAACATCGTCTCAACAAAATTCTTTTCGAATGACTTCTACTTATTCACGCTACTGAATACTGAACCAAAGAAACCAACCGAAACCAAAGAGCAAAATGGGTCCAAACTCTGAGTTGGCAGAAGCGCAAAGAGGAGGAAATCGCAAAACTGTGACATGTTCTGCTTATCACGACTCTTGCAGGAAAATCATAATGTGACCATGATGCTGTCATAACAGACCACGCACGTGCTAAACGTATAATGGATGGGTTGTGTAAGCTAATTCTACTTTAGCGCTGACAATCAAAAAGTTGCACTTGTCTGCTCATTATGACTACAAAGGACATTCCCCCAACAAAGAAATGTCATCGAAGTCGTATTCTTCATGCCGGTGGCGAAGTAGTCGATTGTATATGAAGTTGATGCTATTTTTATCTCCTCGACAAGTTCAAGTTCAAGTTCAGGATCAGGATATCCCCGGATTAGGCTATTCTACATCATTTTTTTTTCCATAGGACTACATGCTGCCTCCCATTCAACTACTTAAAAAAAAACCCACTTAAAAACTTACATACCGGGAGAGCAAGAAAACCGTATCACAACGGCCAAGAAACTACAACTATCGGAGAGGACTATATTGCAATCGCCTCTGAAGAACAACTAAGGCACAGCCTAACAATGTAGGGCCCTGGAAGCAAGTGTTACAACCTGCAAGGGTATGACATGCCTGCTCATCGAAAAATGAACTTACTGGAGAAGAGCCTAAATAACCAGGAAATTAAGCAATTAAAAAGGTTATCAACACATCGTAGATCACGTGAGCAGGCCTCCCTAAGACTTATAAAACCTGCAGTACGTACTTAACTAAAGCAGTTACTGCGACCGCTTGGACTTGGAGTTTAGTTTTTTAAAGTCAACTAAATAACGCTAGCTATATTCATCGAAGTTACTGAATCGGGTGGAGCTTAGAAGTGGAGGGAATCGGCCTGATGAGTGGTATGCTGTAGGCATTAAGTGCCGACTTAATGAATGCTTTGTATCTCGCAGTTGAGTGAGTTTTCCATAGGACTTAATCAAAAAGAAGTAAATAAGCGGGTAAACCTTAGATAGTCAAAAAAGTTCCACATGAGACGAAACAGCCACGAATACAGGACAGCGTTGCAGCATGCGTCTGGACGTCATTTTTAGTTTGTGTGTGTGTGTGTGGAGTTGTCCTATATTTTGATTGGATTCAAAAAGAAGTAAATAAATAAGCGGACTTCGCTACCTTGTGTCGCTGAAAGAGAGGCATCCAGAGGGGCGGAAGAAATAGGGTGGAAAACTTCCGGGGCGGAAGTTCCCGGCGCAGATGAATTCTCTCCACGAAAATCAGGAGTCTTTAGTCTCAACAGAGGAAGCCTATATATAAGAAACAGAGAGTCTTTCGCGTTCGAGTCTTTGGATCATTTGTACATCATAAGCTTTTGATCCTTAGATAGTCAAGAATCTTATTTTGCACGAGATGAGCAGAATCCTTATACAGGACAGAGACGAGTGCAGCGTGAGGACATTTTCCTTTTTTCCTTTTTGGTGTTGTTTGTGTTTAAAGTCCCTAAACTGGTGGAGAAGGTTGGTTATACTGCAGTCAAAGTCATGAAAATGTGGAAAGTAGAAGCATGAGCTAAGAAGATTAGGAGTATCTTGAACTGAAAAGTAAAGTAATAGGAACGATGGGAACGAAGGAGGGCTTACTCTAGATAGTATAGTAACTAAGATAGTAGTCTACTAAAATTAGAGCGCTCGGAGTAAGAGTCCCTGTCTTCTGCCGCATAAGGTCCCACCAAGTGAAAAGGGAAAGGTAGGCGCTCTCAATGATATCGGAGCGGCGTTGTTGCCCTTGCTTATGGGTGCTAGCTCACCAAGGTCAACATCCGACATCATTCGACAGGAACTTAAACTCTTCTATCTATCTACTCCCTTTTGTACATCATAATTATAGAATACGAACTAGTATGTATCTATAATATTAAGAGCAATAAAACTTTGCAAACACATCCCTTCGGAAACCTCAACCTCCAACACCCAAACCCAAAACACCCAAACCCAAAACACCCAAACCCAAAACACCCAAACCCAAAACCTCCAACACAAAAACAAACAAACCCCAAACCCATGAACCCATGAACCCATGAACCCATGAACCCATGAACCCATGAAACCACGAAACCACGAAACCACGAAACCACGAAACCAGGAAACCAGGAAACCAGGAAACCAGGAAACCA